ATGTATGTCAACCAAATGATAAAGACATTAATTGCTTTATGCAATAAAATAAAAATCTTTGGAATTTACATAATAGATAAGAAGGTTCTTTTTTTCTTCTTAAGCGACCTTTTCAAAGTTATATGACAAAGAATGATGCTCTCACGCAAGCTCTAACGAAAGTGCAAATGTAGTAGATACGTTTCACGATACCCAGAAATACGTGGATAATGCAAATTACACGATAGAAGGGATCGATATCATTGGAGATGACCTAATAGAGAATTGTAGAAGCAACTGGAGAGAGTCAATCACTCTTTACTTAAAACGTGATCCATATCGCTGAAGCTATACATAATTAACCGTAATTTATAACTACTAAACACCATTGAAAATGCAAAATATAGAGTTAAGAAATAAAGATTTTAATAGAAGAATAAGAAAGAAACTGTATCTTGACACAGACACTTGACCTACACAATAATATAAAAGTTTATAACTTAAAAATACATAAAGTTAATAAACTCAACTTTGTACGTTAAGGGTATTTAAAAAAAGGCCATAACGCAATAACTTTTGGAGGATTCAGCTCGAGAATAAATTAATATAGAGAAACTTTCATGAACAGAAAAATAAAATCAAGCAGTTCTTTACTAAGACCTGTATCCGCCACCGTACTTTCCTCAAAATAACATAAAAAACATAAAGAAAAAAAATTACAAGGTAAAATTATGTCTACAAATTATTAAGTATGGCTGACAGTGATGGCTCTCACTTGTTATAAGGCTGCATAATACAGAGAGATTAGATTATATTATTTAAGCTGTCACATAGAAACTTTCTCATACTCTTATTTCTCGCGATAATGATCTTAGAAATTCAGTTAGACTAAGACTTGAAGTATGGTGAAAACCGCCATAACAATCTTTCCTTCTTCAATAAACCATTTTCTGGTTCAGCTGTACACTTGTGGAAATTCTTGCCTCTACGTATTCGCCCTTGTTCAATCCACTCAAAACTTACTACTTAGAATTCTATACTTTCCCATCATACATCCTATTATTTCTTGTATGCCTTCTACTTTCCTCAAATATTACTGCCTTGTTCTTATTTATTTTTAACTAAATTGTATAATTTATGTAAATCTATATCATTTATTTATTCAGTTTCTTTCCTTTTCTTCTCTTTCTTATTCTTCTATTGAAAGTCCTTCAAAGGGTTTTTTATCCAGTCTTTTAGTCACTGTACTTTTAGTCACTGTAAAATAAAAAGTTTCATACAAACTGTACCCTATTCCTATCCCCTCGTAAGGTTCGAATTTTCAAAAATCCTTTTTTAGTGGATATTTACGTAACAAAAGGAAACATTCAGCTGTATGGAGCTATGCGTTTTAATATTTCTGAAACAAACTTGCACCTTGCACTCTCGTTTTAAGACGCTAAGGCTATATTTTTGAAGAAATGAAAAATATGAATTCCATTATTTTAAAATTCCAGAGTATATGAATCAATTTTTAAATAAGAAAGCAATTAATAATGAAAATTAATTTTTCTCCATACAAATTTGAGCACTCTCTCCCGCATAATGGGTTGTTTTGAAAAAACGCTAAATCGGAATTCATTTATTTTATTTACATAGTACCTTTAGTAAGTTTCGAGTTAATCAGCCTGTAAAATAAAGAGTTTCATACAACCTATTTTACCCTCTTAGGGGTTGATTTTTCCAAAATCCTATCTTAGTGGATGTATACTTTATATAAGGGTATATATATTACGTCCGAATTTCAGATTTCTACGTCTAGCGGTACGAACTGTGCGTCAATCGATGAGTCAGTCACCAGCGACATCCTCTTTTATTTATTTAATTTATTATCAATAAAATTTATATGAATAATATTATTATTTCGGCTATTATTCACCGCGGCAAGGAATTCTAAACAGTCAGTGAAGTTAGGTTAGACATCCAAGAGGAACTGTATTTAATAAGGTCATTTTTGCATTATTAATCCTTTTAGCCATTTGCTCAAGCCTAACTTGGAAACATAATCATCCATATTACTACTGACAAGCCCATTGACTAAAACGACTATTAGTACACGACAAACTCATGTGGCAATTCGTTTTTTCCTTTCATCCTTCTCTGCTTTCAGGAAATTCTCGTCATGAGGAACACTGATATCCACTATTATTGCCTTGCGAGTAGTTCGGTCTAGTACCACACTGTCAGGTTTATTTGCTAATACAATATAGACCTATCCGTGACAATAATTGACCAATCCCGTACAGAGTGACATCTGTATTTTTATATATATATATATATATATATATATATATATATATATATATATATATATATATATATATATATATATATATATATATATATATATATATAAATGAAAATGATAAATACATAAATATACATATATTAAAGCAATGAAATAAATACATAAACAATATGTAAAAAGCCAATCAGATGGTAGCCCTCGGCAAGGGAGATAAAACGGCACAGGGTTAGGGGTAAGGGAAAGAAACCGGTGGGCGATGCGGGCGGTGTCGAGGAGCAACACTTGACGCATTTGAGCCAGGAGCGATCCGTCACGAAGTTCCAGCCGCCTCAGATGACCTGAGAGGCTGACTGGGATTAGCTCATTTGCAGAAACGACTGCAGGAATAATTTCGGTCGACAGACCACCCCACATGTCGGTGACCTCGTGATCCAGATCCAGATATTTTATTTTCTTATCTGCTTCGGCTCTCACGAGGTTCTCATCATACGGAATAGTAATGTCGACTAAAAATATCCTTGACGGTACCCGGTCAGCACAATATTATCAGGCATATTTGCAAGAATAGTCTATGATGGTGGCCCGGTTCCAATAGAACCTGGCGTGAATTTTCGAGCACGGCTTGCGGCAAGTACTTGTAATAAGGCAATTTTCGATCCACAAGACCGTATTTCAGAATGAGCTCCTACCTCCTAGCTTCTGGTGTAGAATCCCGTCTATTAGGTTAGGCTGGAGATGATATGCCTAAGTCACTCACTGCGATGGCGACAAGTTCGACCGGTGTAGACGGTGACACCCCTTAGTAACCTGATCCTGTAAAGCATAGAAAAACCCCTCGGTTTCCACAAAGAGATCACTGAAACGTAGCCAGTGAGGAGCCAGCAGCATCTACAAAAGGTCCATATAGAACCTTGTGGAAACTCCCGTAAAGCTCCTTCTCTTTCCATACGATATCCTGGTTGGAAATCGTATGGAAAGAGAAGAACAGAGCTCTACCGAATTTTGCCATTGCTCGTTAGCTAAGGATAGAGAGGTAAGCCTTTTATCACAAGAAATGACGTCCTAATAGAATGTATCATCCAAACGAAAAAGAGGTAATTACGGACGCTGCACTTCTTTCTTCGGCGGCCTTGTGGTTGTCAAACTAGTATTAGTCTTGCAAAATGATAGCTTCTTTGAACTTATTAAGTCTTTAGTCTTCAAAATAAATCTTCATATCCAAATTCCAAAGCGGCACTTTCCGTTGAATGACTTTTGATAAATCTTCGAGTCTTCAGTCTTCGTCGCTCGCGCATTTTTGGTAATCCCGGATGAGCTCCCAAAGTTGTGGTGATATTTCAAGAATTTGAGACGAAACACTCACTTTTTTACTGCTTCTTTTATTTTCATTAAATTACATAAAACTTACGCAAGTAATATAGAAGTCAATGCAAAAAACACGTTACATCTTGTTATCTTGACTACAGTGACCTTTTTTTTAAACGGACATCTTTTAATTTTATCTTTTTATCTTAAAGTGTTGGTTTACCAAGGAGGTCAATATTCTACAAAAACCATTAAAACAAACTACTCATTGCTTAATTATCCCATATATGTTTGTTATTATTATAATAAGGGCATTTATACAGTATTCTCATCTGATTAGGATTTGTAAATATATAAATGAATACAATATATACATAAATATATATTAATATAATGAAATATATAAATCTACAGTACATAAATAAATAAAAATCCAACCAGACGGAAGTCCACAACTTATTTTCCCTGTGATTGTATAACGATTGAAATTTGACAAAATTAAATGCGGTTATCCAAATGCAGATGAGGGGTATCTTTTTAATAGAAGAGAAATCAAAATTGCATGCGGCTCACCTTATCCTAAATACCTACTGCCACCCGTGAACTACCAAAAAACCAGAAGAGTTGAACAATTGAACAGGAGTAGGCTCTTTCTTTAGACTTTCAGGAGTCCTATCGGCATCAATAAATCGCTGGTGATACAAAACTTCACAAAGTAATCATGCGGGAATTAAAACTTCTGTAGAATCACACAATTGTGTACCAAGAAGCATTCAGATGGTATGGATCTTGTGTGGACCTTAGCACCTGAAATCAATCCGAACAGTTCCTTGAAACATATACCGTCCATAATGCGATAAAAAGCAAAGAACGCCAGTAAATCAAGGCGATAAGAAATAACTCAGAAAATTTCCATCTAAGAGCACGTAACACTAGCATATTTCAGAAGGTATTTTAATTTACGTTTGTTTACATACGTCGATATTTTAAATACATAAATGTGTATATATAAGGCGACGAAAGTAAAACATTGCGTGACGCTGTCGGTATTAGTACAAACAAGTGCGATGCCGTACCACCCCCTGCCCTTTTAATGACACCTTCAATTTGTCCGCTTAATTTGCATATTTCAATAATAGTTTCTTGCGTTTAAGACCTTTGTGCTTTCTAGTCTATGTTAGAGGCAGGCTTCTTGCAGAGCTTGCTATCGTTACTACGTGTTTTGGAAAATTCGACAAAAAATAATGTTGATTTTGCTTAAATCCTCTACAAAAATGAATATAATAATAAGTAGAATTTAAAGCATTTAAAAATTGAAAATATAATTAATTTAATACACTCTATATATTTAATTTACCGATTTTAAACAATTCATACCACGCTTAATAGAATTAAATTAAAGTTCCTTTATTACATTGCTTGCTTAAAAATGTTTGTGTACGGTATTAAACCAGGGTCTAGTGAAGAAGAGGAAGAAGAAGATGTTAAGGATATTCTACAGGTTTGATAAATATTAAACCATGAAAACGCGACATAACGAAAGTAAAGACAACTTAGAGTAAAATCCATGTTGCAATATCACTAGTTTTACGGCTTTTATCGTGACATGTGGTCACGGAGGGACGCACTTGCGACCAGGGATGCTACAAAACATCCAACATCTGGTAATCGAATAAAAACTAAACTAAACCCAATTTATTTGTGTAAATATAAGAAATCACTCATGTTTCAAACTGTAAAGAAAAAAATTATAAAATTATCAATCTGTTTTTAGCAGGGGTTAGAATGGTCAGGAAGGGATGTAGTCATAATAAAAAGTTATTTAATGTACATTTATGCCAATATTAATAAAGATGACAAAGATGTCTGCTCTTTGTTTCAGAAAAGAAGAGAAGAATGCGAGCGCAAAGCAAGAAGAGGGGAGATGGATCCCCGCCTGGAGTTTACATTTCAGCTCCTGATTGATGGGACAGGTTTACCACGTCATACTATAATGGATCATGTTTTCGAAGGGAATATGGTATGTGATGCTTAAAATAAAAAGAATTTATTCTTTTCAGGCCAATAACTATTTGATTTTTTTCGTAACGGGAGTAAATACTAGTTAATTATCTATTTTAAACTATTGCAGTTGGATGACATCAATCAACTGTTCCTTCCTCATATGAGGAACAAACTTCTTTGGTATTACCAAGACGTTGAGGAAGTTGAGCAGCGACCACAAGTCGAAGGTACCAAACCACGTCAGCAAGGTCAAGGAAAGCTGCCACCGCCTCAAGTGACTCTTAAAAAGAAACTATTCTTATCAGATGGCTGGGACGTAAAATTTACGGGGATATGCATTTACATGTTCAGGATAAATGTCAGCAAACAGTTGCCAGAAGAGGGATTTCATAAAGATTTGTAAGTGGCGTTTGTATTTATTTTTTATCTATTAATGTATAAAATAACAAAGATAAAGGCAGTTAAATTTTAAAGTAATTGTATAAAGGATAATGGTAAGCTTATTTTATCAATTTTCTTATCTAGATATAATCTCGTTTAATTTAAAATTTTTTTAATTCTCGACATTCTCTCTCTCACCTGTTTATTACATGTGTAGTATTCGCATAAATTTTAGAAATCATTAATTTTTATCACATAATAAAGCTCCTGGGAGCTTAATTAAATATACAGTGGCGTTGAGATTGGCAGTAGTAGTAAAATCCATCATGTGAAATAGAAAAGAAAATCTTTTCCACTTCGTATTATGTTGTATTTTAAATATAGTGTTTGTTGATTATATCTAACAATTTATTACTTTATAGGTTCTGTGGAATTTTAAATGCTGGTAAAGTGGGACTGGTGACGGCAATTGAGCGTATTATGGAGTACGTTTACATGAATGCACTCGCACACCCGAGTACCGATGGAGACGAAGACGAAACTAGATTCCCGATCGTTAAGAACCAACTACTTCCAGGACTCAGATCATTCTGTAGTGCTCTAAAAGGTTAGCTTGGTTAATAAATAATCAATAAAAGCATATCTATAATGTCTTAGTAAAAATAGTTTCTTTTAACAACTTCATCGGATATCATTAAGTTATGTAAAATTTGCAGCCATTTATATAAGTGTATGTATTCATTCGTTAATTTTAATGGCTTAAAAATATAGGACAGCATAACGTGCTCTTAGATTCAAAGTTAAAATATTTTCATTCATATTAGCACTTACCAAGAAGTTTACAAAAATCAAACATGCTACTCTGTCGCTTCAATAGGTCGGGATACCTTGTGAGAAAAAAGTCGCTAGAAACGCGCAAATATTTTAAAAATAAAATTGTTATTATATTTTTACTTTTCTCCCTGCAGTAACAAATTAACCTTAAAACATTACATGACTTACACGCATTTTGAGACATGTAATTCAAAAGAATTAAAGGAGCTTACTGATTCCACGCATTTTTATCTTCAAATAATCATCTCGTTTATAATATTTTTCCTTCAATTGAAGTCTTTTACACGGTTCCTGAATAAATGGAAAAGAAAATCGATAAAATTGCAAGGACTCTACAAATAGTCGTTGTGTACCCAAAAATGGAGCGTGAAAGCGTGAGCTTTTGTAGGGAAAGAGCGGCAACAAACGAGAACAGCTCATGCTAGGAAAGAAAGGATATGCACTTACGTGGGCTTTGATCTTCTGGCGGCCTTTAACTCAGGCCTAAGGTTGATGGCGCTACCTTGCAGCTGCGGTGGTGCCCGACGATAAATTACACTATGCAAAGCGGTCACTATTAGGTAGGTCTGTGGCGCGACTGCCACAGAGGTGCAATCACACTAGCGTTGGTCTTCAACTACTCGGCGTGGCGGCGGGACGTCGACGACTCTCGACGGCCGGTGGTGTGTTTTTTACCTTGCACTTTTCGGCGAGCGCGTCTCATTGGTCGCCCAAAACGACGCTACCATATCTGGCCTTCTAATGGACATGCTCGTGCAGGAAGGAGGCGGAAGTGATGGGTAGTAAATACTACCTGCTAATATAGTCTACAAAGTATGCGTTTTGGCGCAACCACAAATTTTAATTGACTTCGACTAGATATGATGTTCTTATTTTATTCTTATTGAAATCAGTTGTACAACTATTTTATTTTACCATTTGTTTAAGTGCAATTTGAAGTGACAGTAGCCTAATGGCAGGGTGCGGATCGCGAACTCAAAAGGTCGTGGGTTCGAATCCGCCATTTGACTACTGTCGTGAACCACTCCTAACACAAGCATTTTCAAGCTTACCAGGAGTGGTTAAAAGGAATATTAGTAATGTAAATTAATAAGATTACTAATATTTTTTATAAAAAAAAATAGTTGTTTTGAGCAATATTCTTGGAGTAGCTGATGTTTAGTTCAGAGAAATTGTCCGATTAGGAAAATCCAACTAAGATCAAAACGTCAATAGACGGATCTGACTCAGCTGGGTAGCGTGCTTAGTTTAGTTAGTTTTTAACTTATCGTCACGTAGGTATACCTCAATCTTGAAAACAAGAGTGTACAACTAAAGCGTGTTGCAAGTGATGACATAGGGATATGAGACGTGGTCCATCACCTTCATCCTTTACTGGCTGTATGAGGAAGCTCAAGTTCGCTTAGTGGAGTATAGAAGGGCGATGCTCGAAATTTCTCTACTTGATAAACTTAGAAACTAGGATATCCCCTGAAGAATCAGAGAAACCAGCATAGCCAACGGATAAGTAATATGAAGTAGCTATATAGCTCAAAGAACTAACAACCAAAGGGGATGAAAGGTTCTTGAGTGGCAACCTCGCCAAGCCTCCCAACCTGTCTAAGCGATTTGTAGCACGATTTTCCACTAGATAAAGTGACAAACTAGTAAGGGATGCATGAAGTTGATGGATGCAAGTGGCTCAGGAACATCCTTTGTGACATTTCTTGCAGGAAACCGATGTTCAGCAATGGACTTGTGATGGTGATAATGAAATGACAAGAGACTAGAGTCAGGAAAACTGTGGAATCTACTAATCAATGTATCTGATTAGACATATTGTTATGACTACTGACCAGCCTTAAATTTACTAAATTATGTTAACACATATACATTTTTTTACATATATTAAAGACTTTATTTTCACAAAATTATATTACGTACATATATAGTTATTACATTTATTAACGACTTCATTTTCACAGTGTGCGAAGACGTATGCAATCAGGTAAATTTGTTCGACGATGGCAAATCATTCATGGCCAATGTACAAGATCACACTGAGCTAAAGGAAATGACGAAAAACCTCAACACCATAACCATGTTAGAAGAGCGTGTCAATGAGTGGATCAAAAAAGTGATGGAGGTATGGATTCAGTCGTCCACGCCTGCAAATGCAGATTGTCTGTCTATTAGTGTCTAAAAATCAACTGCGACATTTGATAAATAATTATTCATATAGATATATAGATATTTCGATTTCATTTACTTGTCTAATTTTCTTACATTTTTGCGAAGAGATGTTATTTTCAAACAGATACTGAGTGAAAGTGAACAACTACGCCGTGAAGTAGACTCCAGCGGCCCCCAGGATGAGCTTGAATATTGGAAAAAAAGAGGCGCGCAGTTTTCACAACTTGTCTCTTATTTACAGGTTGGTTTAAATGAATAATCATTTTACAAATTATTATTTAAGATTATTATATATTTTCAAATTATTATATAGGTTTATTTAAGGTTACTTCGTGTTTGTTTGCTTGCTGTTATAACTTTTACAATTTCTTTAAAATTTTAATCCCCTATTTTTCCACACATAGAAATGAATTTTTTGATAAATTTAAATAAGACCAAACCTGAAGTGTAACATTTTTGATGAAAAAAAAAACATTCACTGTTGTTCAACCATTATCAAAAAAAGGTAAACATACATTAAAAAAAACAAGCTCACCGAACTTTCTATAGAAGTATAGAACTTTCTTGCCTTTTAAAACTCGTTTAAAGTTGACGTTCAGTAGTACACGTAATGTTTTTGTTTCTATAAAGTACGATTATATATTATAATAAATTTTACAGGATAACGAAGTCCAACTTACACTTACCTGCTTGCAATTGGCCAACTCGAAAGTGATTAAGTTCTGGCGCGATACTGATCACAAGATAACGTTTTGCTACAATGAAGCCAAGGACAATGCAAAATTCATTCAAGCCATGGAGAAGTGTTGCCACTCGCTCTACCTTGATGATCCGGTAAAAATAAAGGACTCCATACTCAGTTTACTGCAAACGGTGCGGTTGATCCACAGCGTCTCCCAGTTTTACAACACGTCCGAGAGGATATCTTCTTTGATGGTCAAAGTAAGTTTTTATTAATTTTACGTAATCGTACATATCGTCGGCAAATTTTATGATTCGACATTATACAAACCACGCAGCGACCTCTGTTTGTGTAAAAAGCGAATTGTCAAGTGTGTCTTTTTGAAAGTCCATAAAACTCAACTTCAGCTCTAACAGGAATTTTCAGACTTCGCAGTTGAAAACGGTTAATTGTAGAAATTAATGCCTGACACCAAATTTGTAGAAAATTTTATGCTCTATAATTATTGTCATAACTTCAAATGTAATTTGAAGCAAATATAGCAAGATAAATTTAAAGTAATCCGATTTTACGACACCGAATACCGAATACGACACGACAAAAACTTAGTTTACAAGATTGTAGCGCTTTTTTACTGGACTCCAAATGACGATTCGTATGCAGTCTACAATTTATTATCGTAGTCCGATCGTACAATAAGTAACTATCATAATTTATAACGATGGCATGTGTTAACTACTTCAAACAGATGAAATCAGCTATCAAGTAATATCAGCGCCAGTTATTTGTAAAGCGGCTGCACCAAAACCGCGAATATATTTATTAATAAATTAGACAAAATGCTTGCCTTCAGCATTTCACAAATCAACAAACATCTTCACTTTCACGTAACCTTGTAAATTTTTGCTATTTCTGGCGGCTTCTTTCTACAATGGCGAAATCATATTAAGTTTATTAACTCACTAAACTTATTAAAGAAAGTTAAATTCCTTACTACTATGCAACTTTGAACTTCCAGATAACGAATCAAATGATAGAAACATGTAAGCAATATATAACGTGTCGTTTTAAAGAGACAATCTGGTCTCAAGAACGTTCTTTAGTAAGGGAAAAATTGATGCACTGCATCAACTTGAATAAAACTTATAGAGAGACTTATATCTTGGTAAGAGACCAGCCGTTTCTGCCTAATACTGAGCAATTTAGTTTCTCTGAGAATTACGTGTTCGGAAAATTCGACACTTTCTGCAAACGAATCAACAAAATTATTGCTATGTTCGATATGATGGATGATTATAATCACTTATTTGAAAAGAGGATGGAGGGCTTATTGCTGGGTGAAGGTAAATTTTTTGTTTAGTTAAATACTTATAAAATTGTTTTTAAGATAACAAACATTTTATCTACGAAATGCTACTTATTACTTTCTAATGATCCAAACCTTACAATTCAGCTCATGAATTACGACCCACAGATAATATTCCCTTAATCCAAATAGTTCAAAATTCAATAAGTATACAAAAGTATTTATGTTCTATCAAATACAATGATAATATTATATTATGAAATTAAAAAATATGTACTTAGTTCTTAAATATTAAACTAGTATGCACTGTACATAAGTTGTAGTGTACAATGTACATATAATTATTAGTTTCCTATTTGTGTTCTTTCCTTTTATTCCTTTATTCCTCCTATTTTCCTTTTATTTTAATTGTGTTAATGCTCTAACACTTATTGAAACTCTTCTTAGTTTAGTCATTTTTGTTCTATTAATTTAGAGATTATATGTAGCTTTACATACCCGTACATATAACATTTTAAGTCATCTTTACCCGTCTTGAATTTATCTCAATCCAAAAATCTCAAGGTTGTTGTCACGTTAAAAGTGAAATAAAATAACTTATGGCTCTTGTTACAATCACTTGTATCTTGTTACAATCACCGGAGAGAGATCAGGCGCAGGACCAACGGCTTTACGTGCTTTCAGAGGCACGGGGGTGAGACACCGCCAACTTCCTGACTCCGGGCAACTACTGAGAATTTATTGACGGAAAAACTCTATACTATACTATAATAATCTTTGGGCCCGACCCGGGATTCGAACCCAGGACCTCATGATCAGCAGTCACACTACTACAACCACTAGACCAATGAGGCAGTCTTTGTTTTTTTGTTAGTTTATAATTATTTAAGATTGTATTAATTAATTGTATAGTTGTAGCACGAATAAATAGGTCGGCTCGACCGATGAAGGACCACGCTCTCACAGAATACCAGCGTCAAAACTTAATGCTGCTGTGTTTCGTATGGTGAGTGTAGAGAACCGGAGACCCTTTTTACTGAAAAAGAGACATTCCATCTTAGTCCTCAAGGCTAATAACGGATCTGCATTTTGATTCGCAAACGAGGATAGATGTAGATGTCTATGGGCCCTCGCAACCACATACCATCAGGTGTACTATGTGCTCGCTTGTTACCCTTTTCCTATAAAAAAAACTATAATCTTTTCTTTTCCTATAAAAATAAAGACCTAGAAATTATTTATATAGTTAATCTTACGTCTGAATTGAATACTATGCAAATTGAATACTCTAAACTCTTTCCAATTTTCTGACTCCGTGCCGGCGAGAAAATGTGGGGACATTAAACCACACATAAGTTACTTCACCAGTCTTCTTTTTGTTCCTCGTCAATTGTCTATAGTACAATGCTAATTACAGGCCTCTCCCACTTTAAAAAAAATTGGCTGTAATTCTCACGCTTAGCAGGCGCATTAATAGGTCCTTCCACGTTAATCGCCGTAGGTAAATCGCTATTTAACGACGACGATTAAGTCTTTCTGACTATTTACATACTAGTAGTTGCCTCGTACGATACCCACGCCTTGGCATAAAAAGTTCAGCAGTAATCTCAATTTAATTATTTATAATATACTCGTAATTTCGTTAATGTTTTGAAAGACTTGGAGGAAGCTATACATACGTTCAATGAGGCGAAGAAGGCAGTGACAACTTGTCAGTATGATTACTTAGACTACAGAAACAACGATTTTGACAAAGACTACCAAGCTTTTGAAGGGAAAATGAGCGCATTGCAAGAATCCATCGGAAATACTATTGAAGCTAATTTTGCTAGTGTGTGGGAAACTCCTCAGGGAATCAAATTTTTAACAAGGTTTGAAAAGGTAGGATTATAACTATAGTATAAGGGGTAGTAAGAAATAGTAAATGAGACCGGAAACACATCTGCAATTCCTTTTGTTATGCATATGTTTATCGGTGGTAATAATCACTTACCATTAGGTAAGGCGCATGCCCGTTTAACCCTTTTTCTAGATAAAAAGTATACGAACAAAATCAATAAAATCAAGAGATGGTAGATATAACTAGGAGATAGTACAAAAAGTTACCGTGTACTGGCGGTGTAAGTGTACTCGTAAGGTGTAATTCACTATCCCATATCGTCCCGTGGGTGTCGTAAAAGGCGACAGACAGAAACAAATCAAGAGATGGGCAGCAGCGTCGTCTTAATAACGACTAAAAATAAACTGCGGTTGCCAACCTGCTTGCCAAGCGTGGCAACTATGGCAAATATCCCCCCTATGAGAAAATCTCAGGGGAGGTCTATTCAGCATATGACGTTAGTAGGCTGTAACGGTAACAGTAGAACAAAGAGTGAATACAGGACAGAGCATATATGGGACTCTTCACTCAGTTGTGGGAAGTCAATATGTGTCAAAAAAGAACGTATGGCAATTCGAAATACAGTGCCGGATTAACCACGTGCCAAGTGTAGCTATTGCTACGGGCCCAGCGCAAAAAGGGGTCCCGCGTATCCAAACCTACCCATCACCGCCTAAGTATGATTTTATGAGTGAAACATATCAAAACGTAGTATATTGAATTATTTTATGTCATAAAAACGTTTATGTCACGATACGTTGCACCTTTTCCGTCTAAGACAATCCACGTGAGACAATCGGTAACCGATTACTTCGTTAGCGCAAGTTTCAACGCCCACCACGCTGAATAACTCGGTTCTCGTACTACCGGTATCCGGACGGCTATCAGGTCTCCGTCAAAGTCCCCCTTGGCTCTTCGGATCACTATCTGATTCGGAGTACAGTGTCCGATCAGGAGGCAGTCGCCGTGTGTGGCACTATAGGTCAGCAGATTGGGATTGGATGCGGGCTTTAGTTCATGATGATCCCAAAAAAATCGTTGCTGAGTTTGTCACCGACGTAATGCTTCATGGAACTTTTCATCCCGTCATCTATCGTGCCTACCGGCGGCAGATCCCTTCCTTGATTTGGACGCTCATGCAAAATTGCATCGCGTCAAAATCAGGAGTGTTACGAGGCCTGAGCTGACGCATCGGTGTCCCGGGAAGCAAACACTAGCGCACTCAAAAATAAGTACAACTCTGCCTCCAGGTCCTTCAAAAGAGTTATCGCTAGAGCTAAGTTGGAGCACATTGCGAGAATTGGCGAGAAACTAGTTAGCCTTCCTTCGGGAACTCGTTCGTTCTGATTCCTCGCCAAGGCTGCCCAAATAAATTTCTTTGAGTCATAATTACCACCTTCGCGCAGGGAATATGACTCGCTGGTGCACGCCGCAAAAAAGAAAGCCGATCTTTTAGGTTCTCGTTTTGCATACAACTCGGCTCACGACGACGGGAGGAACATACCTCTGATCATCCAGCGGTGTGAGTGCCCAATATCGGATGTGCTGTGTACACAGCGCTCGGTACGCTAAGCGTTCCTGTACCTAGACGTCAACAAGTCGAGTGTGTCTGATGGAATCCCCCTAATTGGGATGAAGACATGTACTCCAGACTTGAAACCGGTTCTTCCGCGTCTTTTTCGGTCCTCTTACTCTTTAGGCATCGTTCCAGACTCATAGAAGACAGCCTTAGTGCACCCGATCACTAAAAAACATGACCACTCAAACCAACTACAGGTCTATGCCATCACCTTGTGCTCCAAAATAATGGCATCCATTTATTAACTGCCAGCTCATGTGGTACCTTGAAGAGCATCAGCTGATGTGAGACCGTCACTATAAATTCCGTCGAGGTCGCTCAGCTCACCGTCTACCTGACTCACCGATGGACGGAGGCAGTCAAGACTAAGAGATAGGCCCTGACGGTTAGTTTGGACTTAGCGAAGTACTTCACAGGATTTGTCCTCTTTCAAAGTTTTCCTCTTATGGGCTCTACAGGGTCACCAGTTTTCTTACAGATCGGTGTATTAAGGTCCCGGTCGACGGTGCATGTTTCGACTCCAAGCCTATGAATGCTGGTGTTCCACAAGGCTGCGTGCTATTGATATCATGTTCCTTGATGCATACTAGTAACATTAATTGTTATGCAGACAACATAATATGTTGACGCCGGTCATGCTAATATTTCCCGGGAACACGTCGTCGAGTGCCGGAAAAAGTGTGTGTCATTGTTGAACAAAGGTGTGGATTGAGGGCAAATAAATCTAGTTCAGTTTACCACCCAAAAGACACAAGCCATCGCGTTTATCGCAAAAAAAAAAGAAATCCTTGCTTGCATTCTCGATAAAATATAACTTTTTAATCAATATAAACTCCGAAATATGTACATACTAAAAATGATTTACAGTTATTTGTGTATTATCGTCAGTTTTCAATTATTAGTTTCATATCAAAATCACTCTAAATTGAAAGGACAATCTTATTTGTGACTTGTTCTTGTCAGTCTAACAGAGGCTATCTTCTAACTTCTGTATTACTAAACACCATCAAAATTGTAACCTATAGATGGTAAAGGAACGTATTGATTATTTAATTATTTTTTACCACTTTATACTTAAGAACCCATAACAGATCAAGGGTCGAATCCCGCACGGAGTTATATATTTAAGCATTTGTATGGCATACAAATAATTGTTCCGGTCTGGATGCTTGTACACTTTATATTTATAAACTGTCTCCACGATATAAGAGAAAATCCTAGTGTGTGTGTGTATAAAGAAATGGAGGTATCGACCAAATTGACGATAGTATATTGAAGATGGGCCAAACTAAGAGTACACTTAACCGACGACCTTGTATGAAACTATAGTGGATGGTGGAAAATGGAAGTCCGTAGTCTCATCATACAGCCCTGGATGACAGGCATGAAAGTTTATTAGCATTTCGTAGTCGCCATAAGTTTATTAATAACTGGTGTGAATTAATAATTTATAATAATTATATAATATATAATAATTACTTTACTGTATTTATTTTTCTATTTACTAAAGCTATTTGTGTTGTTTTGTTAGGTTAGTCAAAAAATTTTAAGTACAAAACTGAGTGAAAAGTATGACAGGGTGTTGCAGTACTGTGAAAAGGAAGTCGATAAAATAATGAAAATGTTTAAACGCCAGAAAGATGATCCACCATTGCCGAGAAATTATTCACCGGTTGCAGGTTAGAACAGTATAATAATTTTCAATTGCATTGACATGATCCTCGGTAGTATAGTGGTCAGTATCCCCGCCTGTCACGCGGGAGACCGGGGTTCGATTTCCCGCCGGGGAGGCACTTTTTTATCATTTATAATTAAATTTCACATTCATGTTGCTAAACATTATATGAAATTTGAAAGTATTTTGAAGCAATTATTTTTTGGGACATTTACTAATATATGATGAATTTACTACTAAAATATTTCTAAGGTCAGGGAAAAGTTTCCTCGTATTTCACTTACAAAATCAAGACATTTTTTCAAAGTTTAATTACATTTAATTATAATATGATGCGCTAATAAGTTATTGCCATCATGTAGGTAGTTACCATACTTAATCCCGTTGCTGTAGCGAACTTGGGATTTTTGATTAAAAAAAATGCGACAAATGGCGACTGAGTGGCCAAAGATGTGTTTGATCTGGCGTTATCATGTTAAACGGTGGATACTGCAATTTGCGGTATCGACAAGCACATAGCCTTCTCTGCATGCTCGCAGCGGACCGCCATTACTCATGTTCTGAACATTTACTGAAATAAAGAAACGTAACACGGCTTCAGATGACTCGAAATGTTGTCTGGGATTAAACCGTTACCTAATAAATATTTTAATTATTACCTATTAGGCATATTTATTGTTTACTATTATTTTTAAGAAAGTTATTTCACTATCAGTGGTGAATATAAGTTAAAAAACAAAAAGGTGTGGGCCACAATATAACCTCTTTGTGGGGATTTATGATACAACTAGAGAAAAATAAAGTATTTTGTATTGAACACAAGAAGTTTTTTCAAACCAACTTTGTTACTTTTAAGGATTTTCTCCTAATAGAGTGAGTGACAAATAAATCTATAACCCTCAAATAGCATGCACCGCTTATTCTTGTACCAAGGTCGCATAAAATGGGCGAGGTGTCTGATGCATAACATGACAGAGACGGTTGAGAGCGTTTGTGCCCACCCTGTGCTGCGCGCGCTGCCCGCCGCCTCTGATATGATGCGCAAATACTCAACGACTCGGACCCTCATTCACAACTACGAAGAGACTATGCGCGCCGTTTGGATGAACCAAAACGTAAGGAAATTTGCCTTTGAAACATTCAGAAAAAAACCGGCCAAGAGCGTGTTGGACCACGCTCAGTGTAGGGTTCCGTAGTTTCCCGTCCGTCACAATAAGTGTTCCCACTTATGAGTTTAAAGGTGGGTATCCATTATGTTCGCGCTCCAGCAGCGCTCCGCGCTCCTGCATCTGCTCCCGGTAGTGGGTACGTGCGCGAACATGGAGCGTGCAACATTGCACGCTCCGCGACAGGCGATGCCAAGGAGAGACCAACCGAACAATTCGATAATACCCGACCCAATGTAATAAGTACCTACAGCGCCATCTCTCGGGGAATTGGGTTACTAATTAATACATAGACGTGCCAGAAGTTTTCGGTGGTAATTTTGGATAATTTTTTTAATAATTCTTTTTTTTGTTTGAAAAAAGATACGTTCAGGATAATAAAATATGTAAACGAAGTTAAAAAAATGCCTGCTTAAACGATTATACTACAAACTTAGTCCAGAAATTATTTTGTACAACTTTTTGTCTTTTTTTGTACAAAAACTGTTTCCATCCAGGTTCAAAATAATTTTCCTAGAAAGTCCTTATAAAGTTCTACCTTTCAGATTTTTTTCATATTTTCTAAACCTATGGTTCAAAAGTTAGAGGGGGGGGACACATTGTTTTTTACTTTTGGAGCGATTATTTCTGAAATTATTGACATTATCAAAAAATGATTTCAGTAAACCCCTATTCATTTTTAAATACCTTTCCAACAATATATCACACGTAAGGTTTGAAATTAAAAAAAAATCACTTCCCACTTTACATATAGGGGGCTACCCTAATAAAACATTTTTTTTCCAATTTTTATTTTACCACTTTGTCGGCGTGATTGATACACATATTGGTACCAAATTTCAGCTTTCTAGTGCTAACGGTCACAGAGATTAAGCGAGGACGGACAGACGGACAGACAGACATAGCGAAACTATAAGGGTTCTTAGTTGACTACGGAACCCTAAAAAACATCATTAAAATATTTGTTGGTCAACATAAAAATAATTACAAAAACTCTTATTCATTATCAGTATATAATCCAAATCCTTTTTTTAATTAAATGTAGGTTTAGTATTAAAAATAACTGTCTAAAAGAACAAGACATCCACCACGCTACTCCTCCATGATGTAGCTTTAATGAAGTTAAGTTAGTTATTAGTTGAAACGTTACGAAGTGAAAGATTATGTTCACAATTACTAGGAATCCATGAATGCCAAGAGGTACCGCAATTAGGACAGCCATGCTTTTGCCACCCATCCTCTATAATGATTTATCCTACGTTGTTTTGCTTCACTTTAATTTATACTTTTGAATAAAAAGATAGAGTCGTAAATATTTGTGTAGGTTCGCCATGCTCGCCGGGGACGAAACCGAATATTGCTCACCTTATTCCTCATAATTCGCTTCTGCTGTCAGCTATACCGCTATAACGGATTAGTATTTCGACGACCTAAAACCTGCACGGTTTCTCTGAGTAAAATTATTTAAAAATCTAATAATTTAATGTCTATAGAAGTGTATTACAGTAGAGTGTTCATCAACTTCAGTTTAAATAATAATTTCAGTAATGAAAATTGTTGATTTATAATTGAACGCAACGGACCCGCGGGAAAAAGTTAGTATAATTATTTCATTGTAATTTAAAAACGAAAAAAGAAAAGGAGTAGATGAATTTGGAAGAACACGTATTTAGCAAGATAAAAGCCATTTTCATTGCGTAATGTTATTAAAAAACCTCACCAAAATGTCCAGAAGTGATTTTGAATTACTACTTTTAACCTCTTGCGGCCACACCAGTTGATTGTAAGCTACAACCCCACAAAGGCGCGAAATATTTATCTACAGATCAATTAATCTATAGAATGACATATCCATGTTTACACACACACACACACACACACATACACACACACACACACACACACACACACACCACTCACACACTCTCTCTCACACACACACACACACACACACACACACACACACACACACACACACACACACACACACACACACACACAAAGACACTCAAGTATGTATGCACCTACTAACGCAATCACGCATGCACGCACGACGCACGTACGCACGCATGCTCGCTCGCATTCACGGACCCATGCACGCTAACTCGTACGCACGCACGGACGCACTCACACACGCACGCACGCATGTACGCCTGCGAATACGAGTACAGTTGGATTACTTTACAACGCCTCTATACGCCTATTATATTCCACTATACACTATTTTGCATTTTTATTCATAAGCATACATCGCTCAGATTATAGGAAAAACGAGATATGGCTCACAATAATAGGAAGTGTGCAGAGGCTATTTTTATATTTTTCTTTCAAATGGAACGTGGTAATTAAATATTTTTTTCCACAGAAGCATCTTACAAATTTGAATTAATTTATTTCCAGCTTTGGGATGTCGACGACAGTCTGAATAACACGCTTTTAAAAATAGATGAATCAGGTCGTATAGCAGTAAACTTAGATCACACAATCAAGCTGTTGATCAGAGAGTCTGACTGTCTCATTAAAATGGGAATTAACCTCCCCATTGTGTGTCATTCGCTTTACGCTAAAAATAATTACTTCACTCTCGTTAACGATTCTTTACAGGTTAGTGTTAATAACAAATAACATAACCGATGCGTTCTATTTAACCTTAACCGTTATTTTTTATAGAACCAGGCTAACAAACGAGCACGCAGTCCACGTGGTGGTAAGTGGGTGCTGTGGCCCATAGACATCTACATCTATCCTCGATTAAGAATCAAAACCCAGATGCGTTTTTACCCATGAGGACTAAGATGGAATGCCTCGTTTCCAGTACAAAGGGTCTCCGGACCACTACACTCACCATACGAAACACAGCAGTATTAAGCGTCTATTTTACGCTGGTATTCTGTGAGATGTGTGGTCCTTCCCCGGTCGAGCCACTAAAAGAGCCAAAAAATATATATACTATCACGTTTAGGATTTATCTGAAAGGGTTCATTTAAATTGTAATTAAAAACTATTTTGAACACTGATGAACAAAATGAGATAACTTATTGTGGTAATAAAAATGTACCTAAATCAAAAACTTAACAATTCAAAATATTATATCTTAATAAATATAAAAATTACTTATATAATATTTATTCTTATGTTATATATTAATCTTTGTAAATATTAAATACATATGTAGAAAAAGCCTTTAAACATTTCCTCATTGACAGTTCCTTTTGGAGGACTATCTCGCGACAGTGCGTCGGGTGAAACTTGAAGTGCGACCACTATTTCTACCGCAAGTAGTGCGCCTTTCCTCCCTTCTACTACCCGGTCTTAAAACAGTCACATGGACGAGCGAGGACTGGAAGGAATTCATAGATCGCGCCAATTCAGCTATTAAAAGCTTTGATGTCTTGGTTACTAGAGTCCATGATATATATACGAATAGAATTATTTACGTACTCTCTGGTATGCAGGAAGTTTCATTAGTAAATTTGCCAGGTAAGTCGGTGTAGTAAAGTTTCAATGCACTTAGTAAAGCCTAATGGCTAATTTTTCAATAATCATATAAAAGTTATCCATCAAACAAATTTTATAATCTGTATGAATATAAATGTAAATACCATTGAACTGTTTTGTTCACACAACCATAGTTTTTTTAATTTATTAATGTTGTATAATACTAATAATAATAATCGTATTCTATGAATAATTTTATCTGAGTATTAAAAAATCGACCCCTTATAAAACTTTATCCCGTACATCTTCCAACATGTGGTTGCAAAGATATCTGAAATATATTTTTGTTAATGGTGTGACGTTATATTTTTGTGCCATCACGTAGTACATTAACACCATTACAGTAATTTATATGGTATTTTAACCGAATTTTTGCGTTTTTGAGTTTACTGCTCTTGACCAAGCTTTAACACAACTTCAAAATATAAAACAAAAAAAGAACAATTTAAAGTAATTTTATTTTGAAACCATTTATAATTTTCAAAAATTTGTTGTCTGTTTCGATTTTTAAATTCCTATATTTCAGAAGAAACACCTTGGTCTGTGGAGGAATTTATAGAGCACGTGGAATCAGGAAGTCGGTAAGAATAAAAACATAATATATTTACTAAATATAATACGTTTATAATTCCAGCTAGTTTCGAACGATATGAGGAGGCTGGCAGAATAGGGTATTACACTTATTTTCAAAAAAAATTGAATGAATGCTAGAGTGATAATGAACCACTATAATTTTTATATATTTTTTTAAAACCAAATAGTGCCATGAAAATTACTCTTAATCTATCGTTTTAAATTTTCGCGTGAAAACGCTAGCCGCCATGCTGTACATCTTGTGACGTCACTGTCCTCTATTTTGCCGATTTTGCAAAGGAATAAGATACTTTTTAATGTTTAATAATGATTTATCATCTAAATCATTATTGTGATGTGCCTGAATGCAAAAATGCAAGCATAAAAATGCCGGGAAAGTTAATGTATTCAAGTGCTAAGTATTTAAATATAAGAAATACTTGGTTAAAACTAGCAAGAAGATAACCGAATACATTGTCTACAAAACCCAAAATATCCTTCTATGAAAATCGTTTTGATGTAAGTATGACTTATATTTAACTATCGTTTAATATAAAACAAAACATCATGAGGTGAAGGGTATGGCAAGTCAAACTTTGTAATAAATTACGTTAACTAGATATTATAACTAATGGTTGCTAATGATTGTAATTATAGATAAACTAAACTACGATAGCTACTAAACTATGTTTTATCAAAATGTACTCTGACCTGGCATTATGTTTTTGTATAAACAAAAGTTGGTAATGGGTTTTAACTGATGTTTTAACATTCCTCAACTCAGCAGAACAAAAACAACAAAACAACACGAATAAAATGGGGATTGCATGCAAGAAAATTTGCCACCATCAATTTATTTATCTTCGGTAGATTTGTACTTTCTGCTTTTACGAATTCGTCTTCCACGATGCCTTTTAAAAAAAATTTGGAATAAAAATCAATAATCGTAATGATAACTTGAAACATTTCGAAATAACACGTTAGCTAGTTCTCTTAATAAATGACACAGAACACAAATACCCTTAGGATGGATCAGTGACGTCACGACACGGGCTAATATGGCGGACAGCGTTTTGTAGAACAAACGAAAAACATATTCCTAAAATTTAAATATAAAATTTATAATGCAATTTTATAAACAGAAATCAATATTTCTTGTTTACTTTTTTACAAAATATGTCATATATATATATATATATATATATATATATATATATATATATATATATAGTATATATTGACTTTATTTTATTTTACATGGTGTAAAATACGATATTGGCCTAAAGTGGTAGTTGTTAGGAGAGGTCGTTGATAACTGATAATAACTATGACTAATTTTTGTTTTATCGCACTGTATTTCAGACTATATATTTCTTTTATCACGAGCATTATAAGAACCGTTGCTGCGACTTTTCTTGCGTGAACTTTGCCCTACCAACAATATTATGCATATATTATGCTAACTGCATAATATAACAACTAACGTAACATAATATAACAACGAATACGGTCATGAAGCTTATAATTTTAACTTTAGACATTTTTTCATAATTTTGTAGGGTTGAAAAAATTCCAATACCGTTTCAAAAATAAAAAAATAAATAAATGTCTAATATTACTAATCAATAGCAAATATAATATTAAAGGCAACTTCTCATATTTGCACTGTGTTAAGGGTAATGTATGAAATATTATTTTGAACTTCTCAGACGACATGATTTTCTTCATCGCCGAGCCGAGCATGGAAAATAGCATTTGAATTTATAATCAATTTTAATGCCAGGGTGGAAAACGACTGAAAAAATTCACTAAGAATTTTATCTCACAGTGCACTTAATCTTAGATCACAAAATTTGATAGTAAAAGAAGTTCCTAAACTTTTTTCTATACCGATAGAAAACCAACATATTCACCTAAAGGACTTCTTACTTTATCTGCGCAATATCACGTACAACAGTGTCAGGTGTATGGTGCTTGATATGACATTGAAAATGTTTCCAGCAAGCGTGGCGATTACGGCATAGATCCTAATAATAGGCACTGATCGGTATTCAAACCTATTTAAACTAAAATAAATAAATTTAAAAAGCACATATCTTTAATGGCTTTATGCTGACAATAAAAATATTCTTTATGACAGCAACGCCTGCGTCGAATTAAATCGTAAGAGTTTGATGGTGGAAGAGGCCGTTGAAGAGGTCTTGGATTTGGTGAAAAAAGCCGCGCAACAAGTTATACCAGCTGAGATTAATCCGGACTTCGAGTTTCTGATCGCCGAAGGTTAGTCACAGATCAAAGCAAAAATAGATGAAATATGGACATAATAACATAAATGTGTATATATATTATATATAATAATATGCTAGGACACGCTTAATGTAGTGATTCGCTCTGTAGATTATCTTCAAACCTTTCTAAAGTGCTGCAGCGTTTGGTATATTTTTAAAACTATTTAATAAGAGCTATTTACCCGACCTCCCCAGAAGGTGGGTGACGTATTTCGAGTGTATATATGTATGTCACGGTCTTTGGCACGCTCTTTAGCTTAAACGGCTTGTTAGATTTTAACATGTTATGGGTTTACCTAACAGATACGTCGGGCTCATTACCTGTTAGATATACTCAGGTTTTTTTTTAATACTCTTTTAGCCGTTGAGCTTTGTTAGATATTTAGTTGCATTATTTATAAAGTTTAAATGTTTTTTTTTTTTGAAACTCAAAAATTTTGACTCAATCACTATTTTGAAGTCTCTATAACTTTATTTTGTGATTATTCTTTTAAAATTCCAATCTTATAATACCAACGCAGTACTGAACATATGTAAAATTTCCCATATATTGTCTCATAAGGTGGATATTTGCTATAGTTGCCATGCTTGACAGGCTGGTTGCCAGCCGCACATGTTTATTTTTTATATAGGAGAGAGGGCAAACGAGCCTACGGTTCACCTAACGGTGAGTAATTACCGCCGCCCATGAACAACTGCAACACCAGAGGAATTGCAGATGCGTTCCCGGCTTTTTAAAAAGGAATAGGCACTTTCTTGAAGGTCCCTAAGTCGTATCGGTCCGGAAAAATCTCTGGTGGTAGTTGATTCTACAGGGAAGTTGTGCGAGGAAGAAAACTCCTTTCAAATCGCACAGCGGTGGACCGCCAGTCATCCAGATGGTATGGATGGTATCGCGAGTTTTGTCGCGATGTACGATGGCGAAATTGTGCGGCTGAAATTAGTCCGAACAATTTCGTGGAATATGTATCCATAATGGAATCCCAAAAGCTTAATTTGATACATAGACGATCTACAAAGCGGCAGTGGAGCAACGTCTACACTCAACGAGTCGACGAGTAGCGGACAGCAGGACTGGTCCGCAGTGTGGGAATGTTTCGAAAGCCCTCATAAATTGCTATCAACGCCTGCGGGCGGTCTATCCAAGAGTATGCAGGTAAGATAAGGAAATACATTGATCTGTAATGCCAATAATCGTCTAATCATCATTGTCGTCTGTGCAAAATATGCCTTCTAAAACCACATATTTAGGGATATACCACAACCTTTCAGGTATGCAGCGTTTATGAAACTTCCTTCTATATTGTTAATCAAGTTTATACCAAACATGATATTGTTTTATTGGATGGTATTGGCAGTTATTGCTAATTACGAATGCAAAAAATCTCGTTGGTTGTCTGTCGGCTGTAGATAAAATGTAAGGTGTTTTGATATTTACACTAAGGCCCTGGCCTGCTACCTTTTTTTGTTACATGGTTGGTATCCATGCCTCGCAGGGCAAAGATGGGTTTTGTCGGACTACTACATAAACTACCAACCAACTAAAAACCCATGGAGTTCCACCTTCGCCGGATATAGGCAGTGCCACGGGAACGCTTTCGCTCGCATCCACAGCCCTACCTGCACCAGCCACCCCATGGCAGCCCCTCCTCGGGAAGGAATGATCCTCCCCCTTTTTTTCTTAAATAAGTCGCAGCAAAAACACAAAGCGTGCCTTCCTCCACGGCCTCTTAGCTCTACCTGCGTAATGGACCGCTCGAGTCCGGTACGCAAAGGCTATGAGGCCAGGAAAACGAGCACTCGGACGGCACTAGGAACCAAGTTTCAGCCGCGGAGGGCAGATAGATCGGCGCCTCGCAATACCGATATTCCTGTTCCCCTGCGGCTCCACCACTGCCGCATCAGCGGTGCGGCCTCGCCAGAATCGTGGAGGATGGGGCGAGTGGCGCATCGCTATACTAACACTCCTCTTCCCCCACGACTCCACCTTGGCTCGCTCTTGGGCTCGCCAAGCCCACTCCGAATTGCCAATTCGGGCTGACCCTACACACCTTGGGTCAGCCTTGTGAGTTCCTCTTTGTTCACCGCGGGTGAGCAATTCACGGCTACAAGGCGGGAAACCTTAACACATTACATCCTTACTTTCCGGTGGGAATCCATATGTCTTAGCGGAAAGTTCCTTTAACTTAAAAACATTATCACCGTACTAAGTTCGCGTGGCGGAGCATGACTGTACAAGTTGCATTCAAAGAATTTTTAATTAATAACTTATTACTATGTACTGCATTAGTATTAAATTTCGATCTATACAGGAAAGATTAATAGCCTGTTTAAGGTATTTTTAGATATAAATACAAAAAAGTTTTCATTTAATAGGAAATGGTAAAAAATGCTGTGAGCGAAATGCGCCGTTACTACAGTAGAAAAGTTGTTGACGTCCTCATCAAAGTAACGCGTCGGGCCCTGGACCTGATCATCAAGCAGTTTTCTCCGGACAGTGACGCTATTGGTAATATTATTTTCCACTTTCTAACCATGCATCGTATCATCATCGTTCATCATTATTTAATGAAAAATGTGAGTGAATTTTAAAATTAGGCGATAGGGGCCCACGCAAATAAAGAATCTGTAAACCCTTTTCAAAGGTAATCTCTATTTTTCTTTTACATTTACGATTGGAAACATGGAGATAAAATTCATAATCATCATAATTACAATGTTTTTATAATATACGTGAGAACGTGCCTTGGACGAACATTTCCAAGCTTGTCAAAACTTTGACAAAAGACCTCATGAATATTGATTGTTTCCTGGTATTTCTCTTTGAATGCCATGTTGCTAATTTGTGACGCATGCGTATTTTAACCCAAACCGCGTGATGAGAGTGGTATAACTACACTGAGCACTTATAATATACATAAAATAATATACGTAGAGCAAAACTCGGGTTCACCGTATACACGATTACACCCGGGCGGGAATTTCAGGATAAATTTAGCCTCAGTAATTCCTGTTTACTTGGTATAGTTGCGGATAGGAAATTCTTTTCTAACCCGCATGTATTTTCATACTTTTAGCCTCGTTGCATGCAAGTTTTGGATATTTTATTTTATAATGATATATTTTTAATAACAATCAGGCGTTCCTTTAGTGAAATCCATTATGAGATGTTAAGCATCAAGTAGCTAAGATCCGCGTAAAAAAATGTCTTACTTAGTTTACAGAGTACCTCCTACTCTCCATCAATTACGTGTACTATCATCACAGTGACGCCTACCCCAGCACCACTACCCCCAAGTCCCAACACCACTTCACTAGGAAAAACACACCACCATCTATTATAAAAACGTCACGTGCACCTTTTCACGAGGCATCTTATGGTGAATATACTTTGAAGAATAGACTCTGAAGTGATAATTAATATATATGGAGTATAATTAATAATTCTAATGGAGAAGGCTATTCTAATATGCATATCATGCAGAGAATGTCCCTGTCCATTAGAATAGAGAATAGACCTAAAAATGTTGATACCCGAAGTAGAACTAGAGTAACCGACATACCTCAACGGATTAGTAAGCTGAAATGTCAATGAGCCGTCCATATAAATCGAAGCACCGACAACCGGTAAACGAAAGACGTAGGCGTGCGTGTGCTCTGTAGCGTTCCTTGGGGAGAACTATGTTCAGCAGTGGACTTGTGAAGAGCTGTACTGGTTGCTGATCATACAGGTGGACTGCATTGATATAAATTATTGAAATATAGATACCATTGCACTATGGCGTAAATATTTTCATACACTCTCTACTGCCTTTACGCAGCGTGAGGTTTTCTTGTGTTTCGAGGTTCAGCTTACTGGTGGCGCTGCGCTGGCCTGTGCAGTCAGTGGTCAGCCGCCGCGAAAAATTTTAGATGTAATATAATGTAGATCTTGTAGACATCGAACAGTTTCAAAGTGATGTTGACCGTATGGTAAATTAGTGTCGAGACAATGATATGAAGTGCTACCATATGAAATTCAGTAGAAAGATCAAGTCACTAAACTCACCATACAAAATTAACGGCGTCATCATTAAGAAAACAAAGGAAGTTAGAGGCTTGGGAATAGTGTTCGATAAAAAATTAACCTTCGTTACCCACATAGAGAATATTACAAAAAGGGCGTATAGAATGCTAGGATATGTTTTGCGTAACGCTAAAGTGTTTAAAAATAATCACATTAAGATCCTACTGCACAACAGCCTCATACAAAGCATACTTGAGTTTTGCAGTGTAGTATGGAGGCCACACTATGCGAGACACTCCTTACGAATGAGACGTCTGCAAAAAAATTTCGTAGCAAATTTGGCCTATCGGAATGGGATTCACGAAAAAATTTGGTTTTACGAAAAACGATTAAGATTCCTTAAAATTTAATTCCTGGAGTTTCGGAGAAATTTGCTTGACCGGTCATTTCTTGTTAAAAATTTTAACCAAAAAATTTACTGCTACCCTTGCTACAATTTTTTTTATTTCGTGTTCCATTAAGAATTCCTCGCGCTCCCATTACTCCACTTTGCCCTCCTTCTAGGAAATCTGCCTTAGGTGCAAACTCCCCAATTCCAAGGTTGTGCAAATTGGTCAATGGACATAGTTGACATTCACGCCGACTCATTTGCCAAATTAAAAAAGTTCTAGATTTAGCCTGGTCTGAAACCAACAAAATAATAGTTGTTTTTACCATATACTTATTTTCATTATTAGGTAAATTATACTTCTTTTTTATTTGTATTTGTAATCTTTCTTGATGCATGTGGTGTTTACCTTAAATGATTGTTACACTTAGCTACTTAAGTTAGTTCTTAAGCCATTTTATTAAATACAGTGTAATCAAACATTGGTAAACCTTAATAAATAAATAAAATATATCGATTTTGCCTTTTGTTGTTTAGCCTGGATTGGAAGATCGGTCGGAGTATCGTTCTCGTTAATCGGGCTGATAAATTCTGCAACAATATTCTACTGCTTATATAATACACCAATTGTAACGCATGCGTACTTTAACTCAAACAAATTGTCCAAGTCAGAATAAGCTAAAAGTCCGTATAAATTATAGGTCCTTATATTTAATGTGGTAAGGTTCTAATTAGCAAACATAGCTTAGAAAATAATCTCTTGCGATTGCTGCTTACCTGGCACAGATGCGGAAGGAAAATTCTCTCAACATCCGCAAGTTTGACTGACCCCTAGAGTTTTATGAATCCAGGCCGTAAAGAAATTTAAAATCTTTTTTATATACTATGAATATTATAAAATAAAATATTAAGAATATATAATAAATCTATAAATATAATGAAAATGTAAATTGAAGATGTCTGTACATTTCACATTTTTGTAACAAAATTGTTGGAGGGGGACTAAAAATAAGTAATTGAATACATTTTTAGAATTGTCTGTCTGTCTGTCTGTCCATCTGTTTGCTTATTAACGTATCGTTTTTAAAGTACTGATTTATATCAAGATAATCTTTAGGAAAATTGTGAAGCGTATCTTCGTTTTAAAGTTTAGTCTTTGCTTTATTAAAATCGATTCATCCTATCAAAAGTTATGATTAATATACTGAAGTATCGGCACAAAGTTGTACGAATTTGTTTAATGGAACGTTAGGCGATCAGGAGCATTTTTGTAATTAAATAATGGAAAATAGTGTTCCATAATAAAATAATTGTTAGATACAATTATTTCATTATAGAACACTATTTTACGTTATTTTACTGCGTAAACAAAAATAATAACGTATAACGTAATAAATATTTATAAAAAATATATAAACCATAATATCTTAATGAAAAAAGTACAATAGTTAACCAATGTCATCGATAGATGGTCTTGTGCAAATTGTTTTTATTAATTAAATTTTAAATAAGTAGGTTTGCTAATAATTTTTTTCTTAACCGTCGAGTACCTACAACATGGTAATTTAAAAAGAGCTATTAACAATTTGTTAGGTTTCAGCGAGGTTCATAGGAGCTTGGCATAAGTATATTATACTTTCCTTTTGCAGTTCCAAAAAGTTTTAAAATTTACATTGTCGTAAAATTGAAAAATTACGTTACACGATTTTGTTGTTTTTATATTATTCCTACCTTTTCTTTTCCAAATATCATATAATGTTTATCTTACTGTAATAATAAATTAACTACTATAATATTATATAGAGGGCGCTATAAGTATTTTCAAACACCATAAGGTTTAATTATTAGTGAGATATGAAAGGCAGCGAGATAGTGCAATCGTGAACCCTGACGCATTTGCTGGCTTTACTTTAAAATTTGGAAATATGAAATAATCCAAATAACTCTAAGCTTAGACTAGAACATAATAAAATACGCAATAAAGTCCATAAAGTTCTCGAAGCCAAAAAGAACATATACCTATTATACTAAGCAAATAAATAGTAATTTTAAGAATATTAAAATAAAATTATAATATTGTAAACCAAATGTTAGGAAGAATGAACTTGTCTATTGATGTGACTATACTAAAAGCGTTCGATGCACAGGGACTTACCTACAAAACTATTGCAGATAACTTCGCAAATAGCTCTGACAAGGCGGTAAAAAGTATAGTTCCTAATTGTAAAATAAAATTAATAAACCAAAACAATACATATAAAATCTTAGACTCCAGTATATTTTTTCGGAAAGCAAACCCCTGTAGTATTCATAAAATTATTAAAAATCTTAACTCAAGAAAGGCACCAGGTGCTGACAATATTGCGATTGCTGACATTAAAATGATAGGGGAATATATTTCCCCAACTATCTCTGACCTAATTAACAGTAGCATTAAAAGTGGTTTGTATCCTGATAAATTGAAAGAAGGCTGTATCAGACCTGTACATAAGAAAGGAAAACGTGATGACTACTCGAACTATCGCCCAATTACATTACTTTCATCAATTGATAAAATTGTTGAAAAAATCATAAGCGACCAAATACACAAATTTTATAGGAATTACACTGTAATAAGCCCGTATCAGTTTGGTTTTCAATCAGGAAAAAGTACAACAGGACTCTTATCAGAATTTACTGATGAAGTGAATAGTCATCTAAATGAAAAAAGACAGGTGCTTGCCCTATTTATCGACTTCTCGCGTACTTTTGACACTTTGTTACATGAACAGCTAGTGGAAAGATTAGATAAATGTGGTATACGTGGCCCCTTACTTAATTGGTGCCATAATTACCTGAAGAACCGAAAATCTTTTGTGAAAATTGAAAACAACTACAGCGAGCCGATGTTGATAACGGAGGGAACAGCACAAGGTTCGGTACTAGGACCCTTGCACTTTTTGTCCTACGTCAATGACATGGGCAGCTACATCGTCAATTGCACATGCTACCAGTTTGCAGATGACACTTGTCTTGTAATCGGTGATAAAAATCCACAAAAGGCATGTGATCTTTTGCAGTCTGACCTAGATATCCTATCAAAGTGGTGCCATTATGCTGGGCTTGTCCTTAATGCTAGTAAAACTAAGTTGTTAGTAATTAAATCTCCATACCTAGAACCCGCTTCAATAAAAAAAATAGTTGCACACAACCACATCTGCCTACATAATAACCGCGCTGCTGAATGCTGCTGCCCAGAAATTGAGGTAGTTGACACAAACGTATCTCGGGCTGTACAGTAAAGGGCCAGCATATTGACCGTGTATGTACAAAACTAAGACAGTTTTTAGCAAATATCACTATTCTCAACAATCAAAAACCGCCATAGTTTACAAGTAAGAATACTCAATACTATAGTTCCAAATAAAATAAAAAATAAATTCAGGGATGATGTTAATGGTCTCTTTAAACATTGTAAAATTTTACCAAGCATTCTGTAAACACTCGAGCAATTTCTAAAAACCGCCTCAAGGAGCCGCGTGCTAGCAATGCGTACGGTAAGAGAACATGTAGCAACTTAATACCTCGGCTTAACAATAACTTGCCATCAGAATTAGTGGACAATATCACTAAAAATAACATTAGGTGTAAACTAAAGGGTCACTTTATCAAATTATTATAACGTATTTTGTCATTATTTTTGATTGTTTGCATATTCATTTTAATTTTTATTTTTGTTTTTCCTTTTTATAGTATATGCAATACAACATAACGCTATATTTTTTTTATAATTGTAATCTCTCGATAGCTTATTTATAAACCTTAGTGGTTTTTTTAATGCTATCACTACAAATATGTGTAATGCTTGTTCATATAATAAATAAATGAAAAAAAAATGTAGTAATAAAGTGCGTATTACTAATTTATGTTTTATATGCTAAGTTAATGGGCACTTATAATCCATATCCATAAACACCCAGAGGGGTAGGCAGAGACTACAGATTTCCATTTGGCACGATCCTGACACACCTCTCTCGCCTCCTTCACATCCATACACCTACGCATACATGCTCGTCGGTTAAGGGTACTCCTAATTTGGCCCGTTTCCAATAAATCGCCAATTTGGTCGATAAATTTTCGCCTAGGACGTCCCTTTCCAACTCTGCCATTCACTTCTGCAACATAAATTTTCTTTTTCCACTCTTTCCTCATTCATTCTTTCCACATGACCAAACCACCGAAGCATTCCTTTCTTAATCCTGGTCACAACATCATCTTGCAAACCACACTCTTCTCTTATTACATAATTTCTTACCCTGTCATTCAGATTCAGCCCTAACATACTCCTTAACAACCGCATTTCTACGGCGTTTATTCTACTCTCGTGCTTCTTCTGCCACACCCAACTTTCACTACCATACGTTAAAGTAGGAACCAACACAGCATTATGAATTGCCATACGTGCCTTTTTCGACACATTTTGACTCTTCACAATAGAGTGCAAGGCCCCATTTACTCTATTTCCCGCATTCACTCGTCGTTCTATATCCTTATCATATCTCCCATCCCTCCTAAATACGCAGCCCAAATATACAAACTCATCTACTTGCTCGATCAACTCCCCTTCTATTCTTATTTCACAAATCGTTTTACTTTCTTCTCTTTCAAAAACCATAACCTTCGTCTTACTTGCGTTTACTTTCATACCCCTTTCTCCCCTTTCTTTTAATGATCCGTTCATTAATGTAACCATCATTTGCAACTCGGCCGCCGACGACGCAAGAATGACTTAATCATCGGCGTACAAAAGGCATTTAACGGTTAACTCACCCATTGTTAATCCGCATTCTTCAACTTTCAAAGTTTGCAAACAACTGTCCATAAATAGGTTGAGCAGCCACGGTGAAGCCACACAGCCCTGTCTGACACCTTTATGGATGTCAAACCAGTCCGAGTAGACCCCGTTGATCCTAACACAAGCACTAGAGTCCCTATAAAGAGAAAATGCTGCCTGTATCAAGCCAGCGCTCAACCCAAATGAGTTCAGTGTTTGCCATAGCAAATCCCTATCCACTCTGTCATAGGCCTTTTCCAAGTCCATGAATGCACAAAAAACCTTTTGGTTTTTAGCCAGAAACTTCTCCGCGATCATGCGCATGGAAAAGACTTGATCTGTACATCCCATTCCCTTTCTAAATCCCGCTTGCACATCCTAAATTTTTCCATCAGTTTCTTTCATGACCCTTTAAATCAGTACCTTAGCGTACAATTTTCCCACAATGCTAAGAAGGCTGATGCCACGGTAGTTTTTACAGTCCTGCTGCGACCCTTTTCCTTTATATACTGGGACTATCACGGCTTTGCACCAGTCTACCGGTACCCGCTTCAGTTCCCAGCATAAATTAAACAAAGTGTGCAGCAGGCCTGCCACCACCTCCTCTCCAGCCCTTAGCATTTCGAGTGAAACTCTATCATATCCGGGCGCCTTACCCGCTTTCATGCTTTTCATTGCTTTCAATATTTCATCTATACTTATCTCGTCTTTCCTCTTCTTTCAGAGTTTCTACTTCACTTAGTACACATGTTGTCTACTCACTCATAAACACGCTTTCAAAATATTCCTTCCATCTCTTTAAACTCAAAACTTCATCATTCAGAATATAGCCATTCTCGTCTCTTTTAGCATTCATCATAGGCT